ATTCCACGCTCCTTAAAACCTCTTGATCAGACGCCTTGCGAGTTGGACATAGTTTATCGTCATACCCAGGATGGCGACCTATGTGGTTAATATTCATCTCAGAGTTAACAAGCTGATTGATTTCACGACGTGTCAATCTTTGTTTGGCCATGGTATTTATCAATCCACCCACGGGGGTCGAATGTGGCACAAGGCCTTTTTAATGTGGGTATCTCTGAGCCCGTAGGCCCAGCCAAAAATAAATAACCATCCAAACCCGCCGAGGCGGGTCAGTTCCGTCAACCTCCCCCAACGAAACCCTACCCTTCGGCGGAGCTTCGTCCGGGTTCCTCTCTGCAGAGAGTTCGACAGACACCCGACCCGGCAGCTCACAAAGCGCAGATACTACACTTTGATCCTAGCCACAATACCATCTTTGTTAGGCCATTTATATCGATTTTCGCATGGACTGGCCAGTGTGGTTCGAACTCACTACTCAGTGATATACGCGCTTAACTAACCATTACTTCACGCCGACCTACTCACTGTATTAAATGGTATGGCAATGTGATATGCGATATCAGGTTATTATAGCATTGAGCAATGCTTCTTCTTCATTATATACGGTGTCCCCTCAGGACGTCGGTGATTATGGCTCCCTACAATCCCCCGTCCTTTGTAGCTTTTAATGAATTTTGTCTTTATTGTAACCTAGGAAGGGTTACTGAATGAGGAATAACCAAAACGGAGGTTGGAAGTGAAATGCTAATCTTTATAACATCAACAAAATACAATACTCGCCAGCAGCGTGAAGTAGGTAAACCACTGCTAGTGATGGACTATTTATATTATCCCCACTTGCCATAGTGTCCAACGTATTTATGAGGATTGGGACACACCCATTAGTGTTCATAGGTACGGTATATTACAGTGTTTTTTCTATTTCTCCTAAACCGCTATCGATTTACTCAAGCTCTTTTGCATTGTTTTCCTTTGTCATTCTTTGTCTTCATTCGGTCCTGAGAGTATCAAAATTTCCAAGCCATCTTTCCTCATTATATGTCCTTGAAATTTCAACGTCTCTACCTAATGTTAAGTATAGGTTTTCTATATGTAAAACTTCGTCGTTGCTCACATATTCGGCCCAGGATATAGTAAGCATCCTTTTGTAGAACCATGTTTCTGTTGTTTCAAGTCTCTACTTCTTCTCTGAGGAGATTGTCCAGAATTCACTGCCATATAGGGGGACAGATATCGCGTAACAGTTCAGTAAACTTTTCTTTGTTTCTAACGAAGTCTCTTTTCTGTTTCTTAATACTCTGCTTAGCTTTTCGGCGAGTTCAAATTACAGGCAAATCCGTAGCGTTCAAATGCTTTTCGAAAAGCATGAATCCACATCTTCACACAACTCTGAACTAAATATTAGGGTAGTCTAGACTTTCTAGCCGTGTGTGGCAACCAGTCTAAGAGAAGGAAAACTCTGAACTCTCAACCTTGGTGAAGGTAACAGAAAAACCACTCAAATATCCTTCCTAAATATGAATAATAATTCGCAAATAATAAATAAATGGAATCTATGGGGAGTCATGATAACCTACGTCCTGAAAGGACATGGCATTTTAAAAAATGGATTCTGGTCACGGTTGCTAATGTCACTAAAACCCTCAAGAATATCTTATACATAGATTAGGGAAAAATAATTGATTAAAAAAATACTGACTGAAAATGCTAAACATTTTTTTCTTATTGTGATGCTTTGGTATTGGTCATGCTTTGATATTGGTTCAACTGTCAGTAGATTTTGTAAAATGGAAATTATTCTCTAAGTCTCGTTTCAACTGGCGATAAATATTGTTTCCGATGACAATATTAAACCTTCCGTATTTGGCCAGTTCGTTACACGCTCAGCTTCACACGTCTTCGCAACTACACGATTCGTTGCATCTACAATGCAACGGTAAACGAAAGCTGAAATGTTTCGAATTTAATATTATCATATCAAAACAGATTTTTTATTCTTTCTCTGTCGTAAGTGTCGGTGCATAAAACAGAATTCGAACCTTAAAATAACGGCAATAAAAAAAATAGGAGTCGAATTATACACCATATTGGTACCTTACCATCATGTTTGAGAGGTTCATTTTTGGCATCGGAGAATAATATAAATCACTCGTAAACGCCCTTTTCTCATATCAAGATTTTCTCTTCTTTTATGTACCAAATCTTTTTAGAACGTAGGCGATTATGGTTCTCCACAACATCCTATATATATTCTGCTCTTCTAAATCATTTTTAAACTTTACCAATCCTCCATGACCTTGTTCTACCATCCATTCACTCAAACTTGTGGAGATGGTTGTTAACGTAGGGGCTGAAATAAGAATGTCCTGAGATGAAATATTCCAAAAAATTAATTGCCAGGAAGGGACGTCTATTCCGAACGCGAGAGTAATGTGACAGGTTTGTACAATCTGATGGTAGTAAATTGGTTTTCTTGGTGGTAGGTCCAGATCTGGTGCATATGCTGATATAATTGAGAAATGTTCAATTTTATACCGGATCGAAGTATTAACATTAATAGAGAAAGTATTTGATCAAAAATAAGAAATTTAAGAATATATTTATAACACTGACACTGCTATCGTTTCATCGTTCTGGCGTCCCATGTTCCCTGTCCCAGAGCTACCCCCCCAAAAAAAAAAACAAACAAAAAAAAGTAGTATTCTTGGCGTCGTCCCTTAACAGTACTATTGCTCTTCCCGACCATCGCATGTCGACATCAGTAAGCTCGGAGGTAATCAGATTTTAAGGGGATTTCGTCCACTGGTCGTTCTAATTACGCCGAGGTTTCAAAGTACAAACCAACATATTCTGTTGATAACTAACAATGAGTTTAATGAGAACAAATTGAAGAATTTTAAACTAGATGAGTAAGGAATTATTAATCTTTCTATGTAACTGGTTGACGACCTTTCTCCTGGAAAATTATACGAACACTAAATTGTAATAAACGGATTGGTATTTGTCCTGGCACTGTCTTCTCATCTATCTGTGCTTGTATCTATGAGTTCGTTAGTGGTGGAAACGGCGGCAGCAGGAAGGGAAATGATAGGCTTATACGAGCTTATCATCTTGCTATATGGTCTCTGTCTGTTTCCATCAGTCGCTGGCGTTTACCTGTCGAATTTATATGATGAAGTTTCCGCTCCTCTAGTGTTGCATGGTTTTCGATAAAATATTCCCTTTGTTCAATAACAGATGGCCCTCTTTCGAATGCAGTCATTCGAAAATCCTGGTTTGGTAAAAATAGAATGTTATATAAACATAGCAAGTATTCTCCCCTGGAATTATATAATGAAATAATATGCACGATGGAGAAAAAAACTAGTTCTTATAATTTGGGAGTTTTTTTTGTTTCTATCTCAATTGTAATCATTTCAAGACTGCCTGTTTGAACAACTGACATATTCCTTTTGTTCTGCAAAGGTTGCACTCTCAGGATTGTTTTGAGTAAATGTTCTTTGTTTCAGACGAAAAGTTTTCAGCTGATGCTTCTTGGTGTAAGTTACAAAGTTTTGGAAAAAATTCTGTCTTCTTTGACCTTAATGAATGTTTATTTAAACCAAGACTTTGAAGCGCCAATGAAATACTGCCCCTAGAAGTAACTGTAGGTTAAACAGGTGGCATATACGAGGTTCATTCAAAAAGATCTAAGACTCATCTAGAAGGAGTTGCAGAAACATGATAGTTTTTCACTGTTTGTCACTATAGTCCTCTTCATAACAATGCACTTAGTCCAACCATGCTTAAACACTGTATTCCCATAAGGGAAGATGGCGGCATGCTGGCCTTGCAAAAACCCCTCCTCAGCACATATGATCTCATCATTGTTTCCATAATGGTAATCAAGCAGGTGGGTTTCGAATGTTAGGAAACAGGAAGAATTTAGATGGAGTTAAGTCTGGTTAGTACGAAAGATGGGGTAGCAATTCAAAGCCACAATTGGCTGCTTCGGATACTGCAACATGAGCAGTGGGAACAAGCGCATTATCCTGGAGCAAGAGCCTATCTAGCCTTAGCCTTCTCTCTCTCTCTCTCTCTCTCTCTCTCTCTCTCTCTCTCTCTGCGTTTTGATTTGATTGCTTCCTTCATTTGTCTTAATTCTTATGTATAGCACTATCCATTAATAGTTTTCCCAGATAGACTATCCTGCTTACGCCTTCAGAATGAAAAAAAGAAAAAGCCATCACCCTGCCAACAAAAGCTGCCTGCGTGAACTTCTTCGGAGCGAAGAACCAGAGTGTTTCCATTCTTTGCTTTCAATCTTTGATTCAGGTTCGAATTGATGAACGCAAGTTTCATGTTGAGTTACTCATTTGCAGTAGAAATTTTCAGGGTCAGCCTGAAAGCCAGTCAGAAGAGTCCTGAAAATTTCAACACTTTTCAGCTTCCGTTCTAGCGTCAGCATTCCTGGGGCCCATATTGCAGACAGCTTGCTCATCATCAAGATCTCAATTAAAACAGTATGGACGGAACCAGAACTAACGCATATGGATCTAGCTATCTGTTGTACAGTAAGACGCCTGTCATCCAAAACCATACGGTGTATGGCATCAAGCTTTTCATCAGTGGTTGACGCTTTTGGACGATCTGACCTAGGGTCATTTTCAGTGCTGTTCCTGCCTCGCTTGATTCCCGCATCCCACTTCTTTACAGTTAAATAAGAAGGAGAATCCTCAGCAAGTGTCTGTTCCATATACTCATGGATTTTCTTGGGTGTCATATCTTTGGCAGATACTTTGTGACAGTTTAGTCCATTTTTAGATTTGTCACACACCTCTCACATTTATATGGGCCCCAACTGCGCATAATTTAAGACAGAAACCTGAATTAATTTTTTTTTTTTTTAGTTTTTTTTTTAATGTTCAGCTATGGCCCTTCTTTCTGAGCGAGGCTTAAAATCTTTTGAACGACCTATTTTGATTATTTCGGTACAAATATGTCACAACGTTGCAGTCAATGACGTAACATTGCACTAAGATTTAAAACCATATTTGCAGCACTTGAGTTGTAACTTTTGCTATTTCTTTATTACTGTAAACGTTATTTTTAGTGGAAACACTTACTTGAGTTACTACCTATGAAATTGGGCAACTCAAGGCGGTGTAATATTTAGCAAGCTTGTCTCGCTAAAACAATTACGAAGGAATAGTGAATTCGATCCTCCCTGGGTGCCCCCTACTTTCGACCGTGTGCCACATCTAAACTATGCTTAGAAAATCACTACTACCTACGAAATTAATAACAACCGGCCTAGACTGAAAAGTGATACTAAAGTAAGATTGTGTCTCCGACAGGAATCAAACCTGTATCACCTTTTCCATCAGGGAAACCGTTTTTAAAGCCGAAACGTGACTTTACCAATTCAGCAATGGAGGTGACGCTGATAGAACAAGGTTTAGAGCTTTTTTTTAATGAATACACCATTTTTTCTTGGTGGGATTTGTACACATCTATATTTAATAATACTTTAAAGAAAATAATAATAAAAAAAAGATCACGGTTAGTACAACATTTGAATCTTACCCACTAAAAAATTCCAGTAAGATATCTTTAATCATTTCTAAGATACAACGGTTCAAAGCTTAATCTAACAATTGGATAATTTTACTGTTAGATCCGGTAGAGTCGGAGACCATAAATGGTCGAGGAATTATCTCATTCTAACACCAGAAAAGAAAAAGTTCTTGGCAAAGATCTAATTCCAAGTTAGATGAAAAAGGCTACCCACTTCCCGACTTCCCTCTCTTCCGGAACGCAAACTTCTTCTATCACAATCCGGGAAGTCGCAAGTATTAACAAATCCTTGACCCTAAGAAGGTTATCGGTCCAGATCAAACCCATCACGCCGCGTACATTAAGACCTCCACACTCCTTCTCTTTGTATTCCATTAATAAGGATTAATTTAATTTTGGATAGCTTCTTCCCAAGAACTGCTCTGTTGTAAAAGAGAATCCCAGAAGGATGCTTTCCCGACCACTAGGCGTTAGCTTTCCCCACATATCAAATAATCTGTACCCCTTACTCCTATCGTTTACACAACAACAACCTTCAGTAGAATATTTACCCACTGCTCCACGCAGCAAGATGTGGCACATGGCCGAGTTTTATCGTGGGGTATCCGAGTACGTAGGCTCGGGCAAAAATTCCCTGTAGACCTCTTAAAAACAGAGTCAGTTTCCCGAGACGAGACTCTGCCCTTCGACATAGCCTCGTCTGGGGGGTACCCACCTGACTTGAACCTTCTGTAACGTACTACCTTTAGTGGATCCTGTGCTTTTTATAGTGAGAACAATAGGGAAAAATTTCACATAAATCTACCGACTTATGAACTTTTATATAAATGTGTTGTTTTAATTTTATTGCTGTATTTAATGCACTGATAATTGAATTAATTTATAAAACGTTTTGCAAAAGAAATTCGTAAAACTATTTTGAATTAATGTAATCAATCATATATAAAACCTCAGATTACACATCAATTGCAAGAAGACAGAATATATGGTTGTCAGCAAAAGGAAAAGCCCAACATTCAAATTACAAATTAGGGATACCAAAATCAAAAAAAAAAAAAATACAAAATTTAGATATCTGGGAAGTGTTTTAACAGAGGTCAGGAAGTACGACACACTGAAAACCGAAGCTGCATTGGGATAGCGAAAATGCATTCGAAAAGCTAAGCAATGTATTAAGAATTAGGAAAATTTTCTTAAAAACAAAGAAAAGAGTACTGAACTGTTTCATAACCAGTCCTCCTCTATGACAGTGAATGCTGGCCAATATACTCACAGATGAAGAATTGATTTTTGAAGCAATAGAAATGAGGTTCTACAGAAGGATGTTAAGAATAGCATGAGCCGAATATGTGAGCAACGACGAAGTTTTAGAGAAAATGGAAACAAAAAGGACAATTAAAATTAATCTCAGAAAGATAGAATGAAATTTCTAATGCAAAAAAATGTAGAAAGATGGCTTGGTAACTTTGATACACACAAGACAGACTGAAGGCAACAGGGACAGAAAAAAGACAGCATAACCTACCTAACGGTCTTGCGGAAATGGACTTTGAAACAAGGTTTAGGAGAGATGACAAAAAGTCAAAGTTTATTAAGAGCTACAAAGGATAGGAAATTGTGGAGAGCCATGATCGTTAACAAACTGAAGGGTCACGATACAGAGAAGAAAATTTATTTCGCTTCTTTTTGGTTAGCGGTATATCAACATTTCTATGGGTTATTTCATGCCGAAATCTAAATATTTCGTACGCAATGTTATTTTCTGGAGATAATACTGGTTTTAGTGATGCAAGTCTTACTAATTAACCCATAAAGTGGGGAACGGGTTGTTTAATACCTTTCCCAAATGCGTAGGGAACATGACGAACTCAAGTGGAATTGGAACCCGCGTCTCCGATTAACAATTCTGAACCTTTATCCATTATACCACCCACACATCCAAGC